AAAAAAAAAAAAATGATTGTGGGGGTGGGTGGGGGGGGGGGGGGGAGGGGAAGGAATATTAATAGATGATAAACAATATTCAAAAAAATTATCAAAGGAATATTAAAATTGAGCTTGTTTGTATACACAGTTCTTGCATTTCACAGCTGTGAAGTATACGTAAGAACCAGTGTTTTCACACACCAGGGCAATACTGTAGTATCTGCAATGACAACACCATTACAGAACTGTTAGGTTAAAACCAGAAAACTAGGTAAATGTTTTAAGGAAACATTTAATAGAACATACAGGCAAATTTCCTTTTTTTTTAATTGTTCTTAATGCTGAGTTACCTGGTAGAGATGCACCACAAAAGAAACAAAAAGCTCCAATTTTTTAAATCAAAACCATGCAGTATAAGCAGGATGTAATGAGAGTACAATAACACTAAGCAGTGAAGTTATTGATGTCTGTTTGAGAGATCCAAAGGTACACATCTGAACTTGCAGGAACCAGCTTCTGGATAAGTATTTTGTTTGTACTTAAATGAATGGATCGTACTATATTATAAAGTAGTACATTAAAAATCATGAAGAATGAGAATACAAGTAACAGTCAGTACAGAAGGTTGCTTATAAAATTAAACAGATTGTTGATTCTCTGAAGCATCTTATTACTAGGCGAAACTCAACACCTTGGCTCTGATGGGGCAGAAATTAGTCCTTTCATACCCATGGAAAAAAAAAAAAAACAAACACAAAACAACAAAACACAACAAACAAACCACAACACGAAAAAGCAGATGCCAATTCCATTCTAACTACCACACTGAGAAGTTAGAAAGGCAGAAAGCCTTAACCATCCCAGCACTTGAGCATTCTCTACAGCCTTTCCTCCCTTCTTTCCAAGCTGTTTTGTTCAGCCACATCCTGATACACTGCCTGCAATGGGATTTGCCTGTAGAGACTTTCCTGGCTCGCTGTTCTAGCTGCAATTTCCATGTTGTAATGCTTTGGTCATTCCTCCAACAACTTTTTTCACTGACCAAAATACGATAAAAGCTTGCAACAAAACCACAGTGTAAGAAAATTAGATGTATCAAGTCCTAAGCCTTTCGCAGGGTTTACTGCACGGTTTTCCTAAAATTTCTCCTCTCTTCGTTTCCCTTTAAGTAGGACTCTGCATTAGACTAAATTTAATGCAATGAATTGTTTCCCCATACATGCTAGATCTTCTAATTATTTGTCTTCAAAGCAGCTCTGAATTTTGTGCCAGTTCATAAATGTAATTAAAATGCTGTTTATTTCTTGGTTTGGATAATGAAGACTACATATTGACTAATTTAACACCAACCAACTCCTGCAACACCCTCCTAACCATTGTTTCCTCATTTAGCTCCTCCACCATCTTATCGTTAACCTCTGTTTATAGCTAGTTCTTTGATCTGTTTTCAGCAGCTAGAACAGTGCTCACTGCCAAGCCAACGGGAATGAACTTTACAAGTAAAATTAATTCTCCCTAATAAATGCTTTAAGCAATCAGGTATTCTTCCTGCTACACCCTTTCATTTCTTTTTTCTACCAAAAGCCTGATCCTGGATGTGGCTATACACACACACACACACACACACCCCACACGACAAAATGCATGCCACATTTAAAAAACAAGTAGTTCTGCCAGAATCATGAGTGAAGTACAGAATAAACCTGGTTAGTGGCTGGATTTTTCAAATACTTATCCAAAATGATATCTGTCTTGCTGTCTTCAAAAACAATCTGAGGGTGTGGGTTTTTTTCCCCCTATATACTGTATATGTATGTACCTATATTCTTCACTAAAAAAACCCAAACAAACAAAAAACCTGCTTAAATATTTATTCTTTAATTATATAATGTTTTATTGTTTAAGAACTATTACAATAAGATATTATACAATATGTCATTTTTAGAATTAAAATCCCTCCATCTTACATCTGTTAAGAGCAGAATATTTAATTTTCTAGTCCTTTGGGGGACAATGTCAACATCATAAAGTTCTGAAGAGACAAATGGTACTTAAAAGTTTAAAAATAAAGACCACCATTAATATCCCCTAGTACTAATACGCAATTAGGGGGAAAAAAGAAAAATCAGGAAAAACATTTCCTGATCAAAGTCCCCATTCTTACTTAGAGATTCAAGCCAAACAGAATGACTGGTTAACATGCGTTGCATTTTCAGAGAATATGTAAGAAAAGAATACAAACAGCCTGGCTATAAACAAAATCAGTAGGTTCAGAAAATGCATTTTATGAAATTTCAAAATTTTTAACAGGTAACTTTTGAGCTTTATGCTCTTCAGACAAGACAGAAGAAAGAGGAACCAAGGTAGGCCTGGGGTATTTCTCGATATCCAAAACCAGACAGAATAAATGCTTTTCCAGAAGAGGAAATTCCTTCATTGTAGATTGAGATTTTGCTGTTCCCACTGAAAAGGAGTCAAAGATTGACCAATATAATTTAAAACGCATTTATATTTGATGGGACATTTTAAAAGTCTCACAACTGGTTTGGCTTTTATTTTTCTTTCCAAGTTTGCCTTCCCTGTAGCCAGTTTTTTGAATGTGACATCTTTGACCTATAGCAGAGTGAGTAAGTAAGAACAATTTCTAGAGGCTCAGATTTAAAAAAAAAAAAGGCATTGTAATTTAAAATTAGACAGTTCCTTTTTCAGACAGTGAAGTAATCAGATGCATTTTGAAAAATATAGATCAGCCACAGGAACAGTGCGCACAGTGCATCTGAAATTGTTCCGTTTCCCCTGAACACCAAATGTGAGAATTCAGCTAGGTAGTAAGTAAATTCTTGTCTCAATATTTGCTTAACCATTTTACTGCCACCATAAAATAAAAAGACAGATTCAAAGAATATGATGGATGAAATCTAATCCCTAATAATATTATTTCTCTGACCTTTCAAAGCTGATGCCAGCTCTGCAAGTGAGATGAAGCTGATCAATTCATGCAAGTCTACAGAAAGGCAGTTTTTAAAACCTTGAAGATTAGGTTCCAAAATCTGTATCTAAATAGAATTGATCAGATCTGCAAAGCAAAACTAGCACAAAGTACTTGGGGGGGCAACACCAAACTATTTTATCTACTTAGAGATTAAATTTAGACAACTACTTTCAATAACAACTGATTCCCAAAAACAGCCACCTCTGACAAAAGTACTCTGACTGACTGAAAGAAGGTGTAAAATTCCTCCTCTCCCAGAGGACATAAACCAGAGGATGAAACCACAACAATCTAGAAAAGAACCTTTTTTGCTGTTGTTTCAACTAACTGGTGCTACAGAACATCAAACTTCCCACACGATGATAGCAGGTCCATGAGTAAGAGGTAGGTACCAAAGGCAGAACTGGTACAGCGCCTTAGATACACCGACCTCTTACATCCTGGCAATAATTCCAACTGAAGTTAACAGGACTACTGCTCTACTACAACAGCCAGAATGGAGAGCTTCACAGACAACCTAAATGCAGTTTCAAGAGAAGAAAAAAGTAAAATATTTCCAAGAGGGTGCAGGTGGGATAAGGAAGAAATGATGCAGTAGAGATGAAGGATGTTTTCCTACTATAAATAGAGCACCAACACCTCTCCTCAACTCTGCTTGAGAGGAACAAAACACTGCAGAGGTAAAAATGTCATTACACCACCTGATTTCCAACTATGGAAGCACTCTCTGCTACTACTAACTTGGGTAGCATTAGGACAACAGAGAAAGCTAGGTGGGAAAAGCAAACATACCCAACAGTCCCAACAAAGCCAGTGTTGATGGGAACATATGCAATTTTTTTGTGCAGACAGAACCCAGCATTGCTAGGGAACACAGTATTTTGTATTTGCAGCTTTCACTGTTACCAAGTACACCCACTCTTTACTATGGGGAAGACAGGAGCTGTATCTCCAAGTTCCACGAGTACTTAATTGAAAATTGGTAATTTCCAAAGACACCAAGGGGAAAAAACAGAACAAAACAAAAACCCAATGTTCCCCACCCCCCTACCCCACCCCAACGGTACAAGGACACAATTTGACCACTGACTTGTTCCGATTATTCTAACAAATTAAAGAATACTCCTCTATGCACTCTAAGTTAGACACAATCAAAGAAAGGCTGGCTAAGGCTGCTGAATGTCTGATGAAGGCCTGGCTGCTAATAAGAAGAGTTCTGCCCTTCCCCACCTAAACATTCCTGCCAATAAGCCAGCTTAACTCTTCGTGCCAAGGTATGGGAAACCAGAGCAGCAGATAGGGCTGGCCAAAAACTACCTCAAACACATATGATATCCCACAGGTTAAATCCGAGTAAGGACAGGAATGAGTATTTGGAATTGCTTCTTTTGGCCGGTACATGCCAGCTTGAAATATCTGTTGAACTACTGTCCAAACTGTGAAGTCCCACACTGCCAATTTCACGAACAGTAAGTTTGGTATAAGAGCATCTTACTTCTTCATGCTGCCAGCTGCTCATTCCCAGCCCTACTCCCTTCTAACAGGTTACCACACATTCACTGTGCCGCTGTGCAGCATCTCTAAATCAGATCAGTAAAATGAATGACGATTAAAAAAAAAATAATTCAAAAGCACGTTCAAGCATGTGAAGTAAATAAGCATTAAGAGGATCATGGCCTGAAATGTAAGTCCAGCACAGGAAAACACCTTTTTGGCTACTGAAGCATGGGATAAACCCCTGTGCTAGCTTAGTGCAGTTAAAGAACAGAAAATAGATGGTGGCCATTACGATCCTACAAAGTGCTAACTTCCAAGAGAAATCTGTGGATCTGGTTTACTTGCACTCTACACAAAAGACAGTATTACAATTGTATCGAGCCAAATTCAACTTTGTACAATTTCTCTGAAACAACGATACACCTTGGAACATACCAAGCGTACACACAGCTACTGCTTGGGTATAAAACAGCAGAGCAAGTGAAGTTTTTCAAGTAAGACAGAAGAAAAGCAGCCTTAAACTAAATAGCATATACCTGCTACATTCCATTTACACACAGGAGTTTTTTATTTTTCAAACTTAGCAATACTGATACTCTAGAATACAAAATAATATTACCCCCATTGGGAGTGCTGAACTCCTATATAAAAAAACATTACCTGCACCTGGTTAGTTCTGAACTCAGAGGCGATGACTTACAAAGTAGATGGTATTACTGGCTACACCTCATCAGATATCACGCTTTAATGTGCCCAAGGAACATTAAAGAATGATTTTTAATTGACAATTCAGTGAAAAATCTAAGAATTTTTAGGTTGCCCATTCATTAAGTCCAATTGGATTGCAGTGTGGTGTAAGAAGAAAATTTATATACATTGTCATCAATCGCTAATAAATGGGTCACATTTTTACAGACTTGTATAAAACAATCAGAAACATTTGAGATTTATAAATCCTTGGTCAATGAGCTTTTAATCTCCATAACTGTAAAAATAAAGTCACAGCTAAAATTATATAATTAGCTGTTTCTAATCTATTTTAAAGTGTATCTTTAATATAAAAAGCGGACAAATATTTGTTGCATGTATTTAATTGCCCTGTAAACACAATTTACTGCAAAATGGCATAGCAGCATTACTCAAGCACATTTTTTTCTTCTGTACCACTCAACACTGCTACACTGTATATCTAAGTGTACCATGCTCAGATAAAAATTTGTGATCTTTGCTTAATTTTTCAGTGACAGATGTAGATCCTTTGAGTCAGTCTGGTCAACAGATAGGTGGAATAGGTCAACTAAGCAGTTTTCAACTGCTTTAAATACATCAAAGTTTAAAATTCTCAGTAGTTCCAAATTTAGTACAAGTGGTACGATTTCTAAAATCGGTAAGTGACAAAACATCGTTTTCCCTTGTATTAGAAGACTCCTGCAGTCTTTTAAGATGGTCTGGCACCTCTATTCTGTTTGCCTTGACTGAACATTTAAGTGCATCTCTACATAGTAATCACTTCACCTCTCCCTGCAAAGGATGCTGAAGGTAGAAGCCCACCTGAGGACTCTGCTGGCATGTTAGGCAGGAGTTTGTCAAAGTCGGAGTACCTCAGTGACACAGATGCAAAGGTCATCTGCCGCTGTTGCCCAGCCTGTTTTCCAGTAGTTACTGAATGGTCTAGGATTGATTTAACAGGAAAACTGGAAAGAGAGACTACCTTCTCAGAGCTCTGACTTCCCCTCTTAGTCCTCATGTAGCACAGGGAGAAAGGAGGAAGCAGGCAGCATGAAACACAGGGGGAGTTCAAGCAAAAGTGTGGTGAGAGAAGTGGGACAGAATGGGAGTGGGGAGAGGGCAGCAGCCAAGACATCTGGATCTAGTACTGACCCCTCTCCCTTCTATTCTATAATCACCTCCAGAGTGTGAAATAAAACACAGAACCTCCCCCATTTCTACATCCCACTGCTGACAGTGTGCCTCGTTAGTTGTGTTCTAGGATAAACTGATGAGTGTCTCCTCTACAGACCAAGCACTTCCAACCCCAGTGATGAAACAAGTTGTTCGGAAGGTGTGGGTCCCCACAACACCGTTGGAGCTTCTTTCCTGCCAAGCAGCTTCCAAATTAACGATAACCTTAGCGGAAAAAACCACTATGTTACATATGGTATGTTGAATTGACGTGGACTGATACACAGCAGAAGTATCACAACATGGAAAGGGACATGAAGTAGAGCTGAACAGCACCTGAGTGTACTTCACACCCCTGCATTATGAACACAAACTCACCCGCTATTCTTTGCACAAGATCTACACCTCATTCCAAGGACCAAAAAGTGATAGCAGGATCATTTAGAGCCACAGCAAATAGCGCTGTCATCTGCAGGACCCTCAGCTGCATTAGTTAATTGGTGTTTGATCACATACAAGTCGCTCCAACAAAATTTTAGAGAATCAGTTACCGTTGCAAGTTCCTCAGCTTCTATGCACACACCACAAAGCATGAAGACTAATTCGGAGAAGTAACAACAAATGCATTGGTCAAGAGCGCAGGAGGTGCTTATTAGGGGGAAGACAAAAATCAGGACAGACATCTTAACCTGAGAATCCAAGATGAGGGGACCATTCCAACAACTCAGACATTTACTTTTGTGCCTCATTTCCCTATCAGTGGATCAGAAATAACATTTACCTTTGAATATTCATGATGCTTCAGAAATGCAAACTCAAACATGCAGAAGAATTTCACAGGGAGAATTGAGTTTAGGTCCAGAGAAAACAGCCTAAGTAGAATTTAGAATTTAAAAGCTCTAGGTTAGTACATGTAAGAATGTGCATTTAACCCCAAGGATTATAAAATACATTGGTTAGATACCTGGTTGGCAAAACTACTAGTAAGGTAACAGTCCCGCAAAAAAAAAAAATCTATCACGTGATCATGTAACTAAATGCACTACAACAGGACAACGCTGGAATACAGCACCTTCTAACTTCCACTAAAGAAGTATCATTCCAAGTAAAATATTCAAAGAGTTTGTTTTTCTGTAGTAAATAGAACCAACTAGTCTCTCTGACTTTAAAGACAGTGAATTTGCATAACAGAACAGGAACCTGACACAGATGTCCTCTATCACACTTTCACAGCATCAACTGTACTGCAGAAACTAACATTCCTGACTACAAGGTGGTGGCAAATAGCCTACTGAAATGGCTAATTAGACCACAATATTTTTTATTTGCTCTGAAACAACAGCAATATTCAAAGCAGTTTACCAAAACAAACAAACAAACAAACAAGACCTAAGAAAGGTTACATTTGGTCCTCAGATCTAATTCAACTGATTCAACTCTAAGTGTTTCCAAAACAACACGCGAGGTGCAGGTCTCATTGCACAGAGTCAGAATAAAGAACGATTTGCAACCCCAACCAACTGACAGGCTCCCCATCCAATACTGGGTTAATATCCCCCAGAGATGGTGCACATTCTATTTAAAGGGGCAAGTACAATTCATCTTGATAACTATCACATTAAAGTTGACGTGTGTATACTTATGCATATAGGTGTAGGTGACCATACCATGATTCTCCTTGTCATCAGGTACAGAATGGTTCTTCATCCTCTCATGGCCAACATTGCGACATTTTTATCAGGGATGTTTCAAGGTCAAGGAGTTTTCCAACACGACCCAAGAGCTAATTCTAGCAAGACAAGCAACAAAACAAAACACCCCAACCCATTTCAAGGCATTTGTCGCTATTAACATCACAACAAGCATTCTGGTTTATCCCACACTGGCATGCCATCCTTCTTGTGAAAGGCCATGTTCACACCACAACATGTTTATCCAACAGACAAAGGGTGCAGAAATCTGACAGAAGGAGTCCAGAGTTCAACCCCTTTTTGTTTCGGCACAGTGTTTAACGCCATCTCACCACACAGTAAGGTTTTTCTTTTCCCCACGACCCCAAAGCAATGAGTAACGATGTCCCAGTACCTCAGGCCGCAGCCCTCTAGAGAAGGGCGGACAGCCCACATATTTTTTGGTCATAATATTCATAATGAACATTAGGCCAGGGACTCAGTAACTGACTTCAGTTTACACAGAGATGAAAAAAAAAAAAAAGAGACAAAAAGAAATGCAAACAAAAAGGACCGGCCAGTTTAGAGAACTAAGGCATACACAAAAACAGGTACAGGTGGATTCATACCCTTTCTGCAATGTGTTTATTTATTTAGCCCCATAACTCAAACTTTCTCATTTGACTTTTGGTGTTTATCTCCTTATAAAACTTTCAATGTTAACAGCCTTTTTATAAGTTAGAAATTTTAATAGGAGAGTTGACTATTAGCTGCACATGATGGTTTTGTCTCCATGTGGAAGGTGACTGGTATAATTACTCCGCTACTGCTGCATCACTAACTTCTCGCTCTGTGGATGTTACTCTGGAATAAAATTTACTATTGTAGAATACTTACAGCAATTCTACTTTTCTCAAAAAGCAAAGCCATTAATCATACGCTTTTCCTGGAACCAGTGCTTCCCAAAACCCATACTTCATATACAATCTTAAAATTTAAATGTTTACCCATACAATGCTAAGTAAATTGAAATTTATCGTGCCATTAAAATTCACCTCCATTCCTCTGATCCCGTCTGCAGTGTTTTTACTACTTTTTTATAATCTTCTAGAAAGAACACATGGTTCTCGTGGACTTTCTACTCAAAGATAGTTTCTCTTAATAAACATTTCATTACAGACCACAAAAACCTACAAGAGTCTTTAACTCTACTTCCTCTTAGGAAGGACAGGCTGAAACATTATCCATAGTGTAAGGACACAGAAGGGCAAAGGAAACAGGGTAGGAAGTTTGCAAGGTTTCCAAAGTTGTGGAGAGTCCTACGGGCACAAGCTAATTTTCAACTTTTCCCTGATGACAACCAACAGTGCTAAAAGAGCAGAAGCACGAGGCCTACACGAGGGTGCAATGACAGAAGAGCAAGAGGAAAAAACGCCCAACATTCACTAACTTCAAGCCCAGTTACACCAATAAAGGCAATCAACCACAGGGCTGTATCCATTTTCAGAACTGGAATCAGGTTCTTAACTATGAATTAAGTAATTCAGTAGCATACTTGACAATTTGACATTTTGATACCTCCCACAAGGAATAAGGAAGGGACAAGAACCGAACACCAAGCTACCTGGAAGTCATTATCCACCTGTAACTTTATTAAAACAGATTTCAGCCCCAGTCTAGATAGGATGTATTGGGAAGTCACAGGTGACATTTGGGAAATCCCAAAACCCACGAATTGCTTTGCCTTGATTGACCTAGATAAAATTAAAGGACTGCAGCTATTATTTTTTGTCATAGCGTGTACAAGTCTCTCATCACGCTCCACCACCGCCGGC